GCTACATAATTACTCACTGTTGATTTTATATGTAATTAAATTACATGAAATGCCTGAAGCTTCAATAAGTCATTCCCTGTGTAGTCTTGTGGTGTCAAGCTCGGATCTCTCTCTCTCTCTCTCTCTTTCTCTCTCTCTCTCTCTCTCTCTCTCTCTCTCTCTCTCTCTCTCTCTCTCTCTCTCTATATATATATATATATATATATATGAGTGTGTGTGTGTGTGTGTGTAATAAAATCTATACTTTGTTTTATACTGTTTGCTTATAATATTAGATGTGCACTGTATGTATTAAATGTTGTAAAATATATATTAAAAAGTTTGATTCTATTCATTTGTGTGGCATTTTTATACTTCAAAGTTTACACATGCAGTTGTTAAATTAAAAAGAAAAAATAAATGAACAATGTTTAATATTAATAGAATTACTGCTGTATCCTGTATTCTAGGCTGTATTGATAAACTGCCACAAAAATATTAAAACAAGTAGTAAGAACGCCGTCTCATGGTTGCTGAATGTCACACGACAACATATGTTCAAATTTTATAAAAATGAACAAATTGTTTATAACCTCAGCAAAACATCTTGTATGATGTCTTAATTAACCAATAAGGGCCAGTTAATAATGTTTGAAAGTTTGACTAAATATTTTAAATCTTGGATTTTATTTTAAAAATAATGTGCAACGATTGCATATTTTATCTGGAAATCAATGTTTTGTCCAATATTTCATTATTACGAATAGGTTTTTTTTTTAATAATCTATAAAGTTGGGTTTGTAAAGGGACACATTACCTTTCTGAAAATACACATTTATTAATCACACTGAAATGAAGATATACTTTGAATTTGTCCTTGACAGTGTTGACACAATTTGAGGTTTGTTTGCTGTTTTTGTTAGTAGATTAATTGTAAAAAGTGCAGGAGCTTGCAAGAACTTTTGGGCTGTCTCAAAGGGGCCCCACACCTGCCCCACAGTGTGGGTCCCACACGTGCCCCACATTTCACGCCGGTATCTGGGCCCACAGTGTGCTGCCCACATGGGCCCCACAGTCTGGGTCCCACAGTCAACCCACACCATTGGGCCCACAGTGGGCTGCTCGCAATGATCCTGTCTGAGCCACTGAGTCTGGTTCTACTTTGTACATACAGAAAACCATTATACAATGCATTTTCAGAACAGTTTTACTTGACAATAAACTGGGTCATGTTAGTAATTGTTTATTTACAGAGTTTAATAACAAAAAAATGAACAACTGTATGATATTGAAACAGAATTATATTTAATACAAAATCAAACATGAATAAACACAGAAAAGAAAAAGCCATTTTTAACTCCAAAAAATGTCATTAAAAGTAAGTCCTTTCTGAGTTTTGGCCCTTCCTTGGCGCCCACCATCTCTGTCTCTTGACTTTCTTAACCATGATTTTATTGTTGCTTCTACTTGGCAAGCTGTTCCTTTGCTGATTTTTGTGACAGTGTCTGAGAAATAAAACAATTGAAATTCAAATGTTAAAATCAATGTGTTATTTAGGTTCGATGGACCCTTTTCACAATTCTGGGTTGTTTAGTAGCAGAAGTCATCATACTAATGGCAGAATACAACAAAATGTTTGCAATTTATTTTGCTCCAATAACCAAAGAAAAACCAAATGATGGTGTTATCAATACTTTCAGAAAAAAACAATAAATAAATAAATAAAATAATAATAATAGTGTGTGACTGATAATGGCAACCAGAGGAGAGAACAACGTCAAATTTACTGTTCTGCCCATAGGCACTGCATTAGAAACACCTGACACAAGCAATCTTTTTTTTTTTTTTTTTGTAGTTTGACGCACAGATGACATAAAACAAAGTATAGCTTTAGAAGTGTACATATTTTTTTAAAAATCTAAAATGAAAAAGAACTAAAGATTTAAGATGCTGATCACCATCAACACATCATAACCTTTTTTGTGAAAAGGGTCCATGTACTCTTACAAAAAAAATGTATTATCAAGTATACTATTAGTATGTTCATTTTAAACTATAATTAAGAAAGTATGGAGTATATTCAGTATACAGCAGAATAAAACTATAGTGGTTTGGTGAAAGTTTACTCACTTTGTACCTCAAGGAAGTGTGTGTGTGTGTGTGTGTGTGTGTGTGTGTGTGTGTGTGTGTGTGTGCGTGTGTGTGTGTCTGTGTGTGTGTATGCGTATCTATTACTGTGTGTGCAGTTGTAACGGTTAAGTGCAATATTCAAGTTCTGAGCATAGAATAGAGTACAGAAACTAAATATTTACAAGTATTTATAACCACTTGCTGTACAGATGAAAAATGTCATTGTGTAATTTTCAAGTAGTACACTTACAATTATACTAGTAGTTAATACATAACGTATATCACATCTATTGAATCTGAGATTAGATTTTCTTTTAAGGGTTGTTTCTGTTTCTAAATTGTTAATACTCAGACCAAAAATATTATGATTATGAAAAAGATGTGCTTGGCAGGCTTTAAAATTAGACAAATTGACCAACATTATAAATAAAGTTAAAAACTTATATTATTATTTGTAGTTGTTACAAAGCCCCTGGGGTTGTAAAAAGACTCCAGGATAATGAAAAGTGTTTCAGTCTTTAAAAATTTGTGGACAAATAAATGTTTCTTACTTAACTGTTTCTACTGTTCTTACTGTACATGACTAGTAATTTTCCTTCAGATTTCATTTTTATCTCCTGTTACAGAGGGTTATAATATAGAAACATTACATACTCTACCTTTAAATGCTTTGCAGATCAGCATGATCTTTTTATCTGGTCAGAGCCCTTCTAGCAGTTGCTAGGCTAACGTTAGTCAGCATCTCTGGGACAGCTCTGTGTAATCCAAACATAAACAACTCTGTAACAGTCGTTGTAACCCTCGTCTTAAACCAAAAGTGTATTTATACAATCGAAAGTGATATTAATATCGTTTTAACAACTTGAATACAAAAAAATAACATTTTCAAAGGATTTCAGCGTGGTGGAGCCTTTTAGTTAACTTTGCAGTTATCATATAACACAACCGGCCGCTAACTGCCGTTTTGATACAATGCCAGCAAACAGATACAATCTTCGCTACTAATTAACTCTTTAACTGCACGTTACCTCACTAAACTTGTAAACACACTTGAGTAACATGTTATCTTAACATTTCATCGATTTTGTGATAGGATTTAACGTTACCCACCTAAAAGATGAGACGGCTGCGTTGTTGTTCAAAATCAAGGCGCTCTAGTAATGACACTCTTGCGGTTCACCGTTACCATAGCAACCCTGTAAACAAACCATCCCGGTCCCACCCACTCTCCACTCATGATATTTCATATAAATACAGCTTTAGATGAATCATGAAGAAAATTAACAAAGAGAAGAAGATTTTATTATAAATACTTATAAGAAAAACATACATATAAACGTGTGACTAACCCTTCAGGGTGTCACACTTTCCCCAAGAAAATAATTGCTCCAGTTATGATTTTTTTTTTCACACTTAAGGACACTTTTTAAACACTTTTGGTGTCAAAATTGTCTAAAAAAGTGGACAATGAACATAAACATATTTTGGGTGGCTCAACTGGCTACCCCACATGGGAGCCACATGTGTTTTTCTGTTGGATTGTCCTGCCCACACTGTCCCACAGTAAACCCACACTTACCCACATAGGGTCCACACTGTGATCATATGTGATCAAGATTATATATAAAACTATAATTTCTGGATGATTTTCTCTCAGCAGCAAGGCAGTTTTTGTCCTTCACACTATTTTGACAAAAATGAAAATGATTTATTGTACCTTTTATATGCAAGCTAAATAAAATTTAACTTATTTACCCACGAAATACAAGTTGGGGCCACAAAGGGAAAATCCATTGGGCCCCGCTTGGGCTGACCTATATGGGGCCCACATGGGTTTTTCTGTGGGCAAGCCCACTGTGGGATTGCCCACAGAAAACCCACATTGGGCCCCAAAGGGCAAAATCCATTGGGCCCACATGGGCTGACCATTGGGGCCCACATGGGTTTTTCTTTGGCAAGCCCACTGTGGGCCCATATGGGGTAGCCCATGCAGGCCCCTAAAATATTTTCCCTTTTGGACCCACATGGTTTTTCTGTGGGCAAGCCCACAGAAAAACCCATGTGGGCCCTAATGGGTCAGCCCATGTGGGGCCCAATGGATTTTGCCCTTTGGGGCCCCAATGTTGGTTTTCTGTGGGCAATCCCACAGTGGGCTTGCCCACAGAAAAACACATGTGGGCCCCATATGGGTCAGCCTATTTGGGACCCAATGGATTTTACCCTTTGGGGCCCAATGTGGGTTTTCTGTGGGCAATCCCACAGTGGGCTTGCCCACAGAAAAACCCATGTGGGCGCCATATAGGTCAGCCCAAGCGGGGCCCAATGGATTTTCCCTTTGTGGCCCCAACTTGTATTTCGTGGGTAAATATAAGTTAAATTTTATATTTAGCTTATATATAAAAATTACAATAAATCATTTTCATTTTGGTCAAAATAGTGTGAAGGACAAAAACTGCCTTGCTGCTGAGAGAAAATCATCCAGAAATTATAGTTTTATATCTTGATCACATATGATCACAGTGTGGACCCTCTGTGGGTAAGTGTGGGTTTACTGTGGGAAAGTGTGGGCCGGACAATCCAACAGAAAAACACATGTGGCTCCCATGTGGGGTAGCCAATTGAGCCACCCAAAATATGTTTATGTTTATTGTCCACTTTTTTAGACAATTTTGACAGAAAGGGTTTAAAAAAGTGTCCTTAAGTGTAAAAAAATTAAATAAATAATCATAACTGGAGCAATTATTTTCTTGGGGAAAGTGTGACACCCTGAATGTCACACGATTATATGTATGTTTTTCTTATAAGTATATATAATAAAATCTTCTTCTCTTTGTTAATTTTCTTCATGATTCATCTAAAGCTGTATTTATATGAAATATCATGAGTGGAGAGTGGGTGGGACCGGGATGGTTTGTTTACAGGGTTGCTATGGTAACGGTGAACCGCAAGAGTGTCATTAGTAGAGCGCCTTGATTTTGAACAACAACGCAGCCGTCTCATCTTTTAGGTGGGTAAATCCTATCACAAAATCGATGAAATGTTAAGATAACATGTTACTCAAGTGTGTTTACAAGTTTAGTGAGGTAACGTGCAGTTAAAGAGTTAATTAGTAGCGAAGATTGTATCTGTTTGCTGGCATTGTATCAAAACGGCAGTTAGCGGCCGGTTGTGTTATATGATAACTGCAAAGTTAACTAAAGGGCTCCACCACGCTGAAATCCTCTGTAAATGTTATGTTTTTGTATTCAAGTTGTTAAAACGATATTAATATCACTTTCGATTGTATAAATACACTTTTGGTTTAAGACGATGGTTACAAGGACAGTTACAGAGTTGTTTACGTTTGGATTACACAGAGCTGTCCCAGAGATGCTGACTAGCCTAGCAACTGCTAGAAGGGCTCTGACCAGATAAAAAGATCATGCTGATCTGCAAAGCATTTAAAGGTAGAGTATGTAATGTTTCTATATTATAACCCTCTGTAACAGGAGTTAAAAAGGAAATCTGAAGGAAAATTACTAGTCATGTACAGTAAGAACAGTAGAAACAGTTAAGTAAGTAACATTTATTTGTCCACAAATTTTTAAAGACTGAAACACTTTTCATTATCCTGGAGTCTTTTTACAACCCCAGGGGCTTTGTAACAACTACAAATAATAATATAAGTTTTTAACTTTATTTATAATGTTGGTCAATTTGTCTAATTTTAAAGCCTGCCAAGCACATCTTTTTCATAATCATAATATTTTTGGTCTGAGTATTAACAATTTAGAAACAGAAACAACCCTTAAAAGAAAATCTACTTGTAAATATTTAGTTTCTGTACTCTATTCTATGCTCAGAACTTGACTATTGCACTTAACCATTACAACTGCACACACAGTAATAGATACGCACACACACACACACACACACACACACACACACACACACACACACACTTCCTTGAGGTACAAAGTGAGTACACTTTCACCAAACCACTATAGTTTTATTCTGCTGTATACTAAATATACTCCATACTTTCTTAATTATAGTTTAAAATGAATATACTAATAGTATACTTGAGAATACATTTTTTTTGTAAGAGTACATGGACCCTTTTCACAAAAAAGGTTATGATGTGTTGATGGTGATCAGCATCTTAAATCTTTAGTTCTTTTTCATTTTAGATTTTTAAAAAATATGTACACTTCTAAAGCTATACTTTGTTTTATGTCATCTGTGCGTCAAACTACAAAAAAAAAAAAAAAAAGATTGCTTGTGTCAGGTGTTTCTAATGCAGTGCCTATGGGCAGGACAGTAAATTTGACGTTGTTCTCTCCTCTGGTTGCCATTATCAGTCACACACTATTATTATTATTTTATTTATTTATTTATTGTTTTTTTTCTGAAAGTATTGATAACACCATCATTTGGTTTTTCTTTGGTTATTGGAGCAAAATAAAATGCAAACATTTTGTTGTATTCTGCCATTAGTATGATGACTTCTGCTACTTAACAACCCAGAATTGTGAAAAGGGTCCATCGAACCTAAATAACACATTGATTTTAACATTTGAATTTCAATTGTTTTATTTCTCAGACACTGTCACAAAAATCAGCAAAGGAACAGCTTGCCAAGTAGAAGCAACAATAAAATCATGGTTAAGAAAGTCAAGAGACAGAGATGGTGGGCGCCAAGGAAGGGCCAAAACTCAGAAAGGACTTACTTTTAATGAAATTTTTTGGAGTTAAAAATGGCTTTTTCTTTTCTGTGTTTATTCATGTTTGATTTTGTATTAAATATAATTCTGTTTCAATATCATACAGTTGTTCATTTTTTTGTTATTAAACTCTGTAAATAAATAATTACAAACATGACCCAGTTTATTGTCAAGTAAAACTGTTCTGAAAATGCATTAATCCCACACTAATCAGAGCGGGTTATCCCACAGTCAGCCCACACTTTTGGGCTGTCCCAAAGGGGCCCCACACCTGCCCCACAGTGTGGGTCCCACACGTGCCCCACATTTCACGCCGGTATCTGGGCCCACACTGTGCTGCCCACATGGGCCCCTTATGGGCCCCAAAGTAGCATGTTTGCTGGGGGGTGACCAACATTCATTTCTTACAGTCTAATGTCTAAATAATACAACTATGTGGTTAAATTAAAAAATCTTAAACTTTATTATTATTATTTTTTTGATGTCTCAAAGGCACTTTTTTGAAGTTGTTTTAAAATGTTTAGATTAAAGGTTTTGATCAACTTCAAATACTGAACATCTGTGTGATTGTGTGTGTGTGTGTGTTTGAGAGAGAGAGAGAGAGAGAGAGAGAGAGAGACCAAGTGTAAAGTAGAAAACTAGGGAGAGAAATGTTTGAACAAGTCATGACTGCAACAGTAAGTGGCAAAAAACTAAAAACAAAAGACTTTTATTTTGGCGTGGCGTGTGACGTCATTAGGCTGCGCCGCTCTTGCGCTTGATTCAGCTGGAGAAAGGTTTGTTTTTAAAACCTTTACATAAATATAAAGCGATTGAATAAAGTTTCAGGGTTTTCATCCGATGCTATATTATGAACCTGCTGTTGGCATTATTTTGACCCTTATACAACGAAGTACAATTTACTCACAGTAATTAGGGCTATTGTTTGAATAAAGCAACATAAATGTGAGTAATAGGTGTTTTAATTAAGGTTTAATTTATTAAAAAGCATAATGTCATTCCATTCTAAGGATAAATCACTATATATAAGAAATGGAGTATTAGTTTTAATCACCTCATTGTGTCTTGCTCAGACTTACCTGATTTATTTTTGTTAATGACTCTCATATGAAACTGTTAAAGTATTGAAGAGAAGTCATTTTGTTTCTGTTCATTGTTTTAATTAATTTAATCAGGACATTTTTAATGTTTTTTTATTTTAAACAGGATAAAGTGTCCAAACGCAGAGAAAAACTCCTGCTGAAGCGACTGATCTCCACACTGTTATAAAGATGGCGTTTATTAAAGAGGAGAGTGAAGATGTAAAGATTGAAGAAACATTCACAGTCAAACAGGAAGATCTGCAGGAACAAACAGGTTGGTTTACATTCTTATAGACCAACTCAGTCATTTGATCCTCATTCAGATATATTTTAATAAGAAGAATACTAAATTAATCCATCTTGCAGCCCTGAGTGTACTGCCTAGTTCTCCTAAATGCACATAAGCACTCATTGAAAGACAGAATGAGTTTCATCACTTGTTCTTATTTATGTCATACTTGTTATGTATTATTCATCTCCTATTTTCACCACCTTCTTAAGGTTATTGCTTTTCTTGTTCTCTTTGTTTGTTAAGTGTCCTTGAGCACTGGCACTATATAAAATAAACAAAAACAAAAAATTAAAAAGGTTTAATTGAGCTGACAATATTTGACCCACAGTATTCTCATAGAAGATATCTGCTATTACAGTGATTGTGTTGGCTTAGTACTTTCCATTTGCAAATGTCACATTGATCACAATTCCCTTTTTTTATCAACTTCTTTATGGGTTTAAACTTGTTTTTGTAGTTGTTACTAGTTCTCACAGATATTATCTTAGTTTGACCTACATTATTATAATAACTAATTACCAGGGCTATTGTGTTTAAACAGGGTTTCCGCTGGGTATTAAAATGTCTTAAATTCCAAAATCAAAAATTTAGGCCTTAAAAAAAACTTAAATTTACTGAAATATTGTGCTGTATGTCTTAAATCTTTTTAAACAAGTCTTCATTTTCCTGTGTTCATGTTTTGTTACCCAATCTGGCCAAAACTCATACAATCACCAACAAGACATTTTAACTCTGTTTATCATAATGATAAGGACTGCTGAGGATATCGACCTGGACAGATTGTTGTGCATAGATTTAGTTTAATATAGTTTTTAAAACTTTTAAAACATTTGTTATTTGTTTTTTTTTATTTTAAAGAAAGTTTATTTTGGGGAAAAAAGTGTGTGGATCCAAGTAGAGCTCTCTTCTTTTTACACAATATTTAAGATCTTTTGCTAAGAAATATCTAAAATATTTTAATGTTATTATTATTATTAATGTTATTATTTATTATTGTATTATTAAATATTTTATATTAAAATATTTTTTGTTTGGACATATAAAAATCTTTTTCATCTGGGCCAGTTGAAAAATTCCTTAGTCTAAAATTTCATTCATAATGGTCTTAAAAAGTCTTACATTTAACTTGGTGACACCTGTAGAAACCCTGATTTAAAGTATGTCAAAAAACGTGGAGGCCCTAATTTTAAATATGCTGAATGAAATGGACACCAAAATAATAAATTATTATAAAACATTATACAGTTTTTTAAACTATATGATGGTGTGGGACGATGTGAGACAAAACTAATTAAAGTGAAACAATAACGTTTAGCATTGCACTGACTACAACTGGCCAACAAACTAGTCTAAAAAATACTTTTGCTGCTTAGGAAATGGATTACAGCATGCTGATGATGTGCAAACATTTGAGTGTGAAGTTCATCAGTATTGACCATATTCTTCACGTACCAGCAGGTGTCGCCATTGGAATCTTTTTGCTTTTTAAAGAATACATTTTTAGATCCTAAAAACAGCATTAATATAATAAGCCAAGACTGACATGCAATGTGTTGAACACCTGCAATGTTTTTTCAGCAATTCATAAAAATACTGTATATGAACTGTCTATTGATTTATACAAATAAAAACCATTTATTAATAATATAACAATTAATTAATCATTTATTTATAATATAATACACCTTTACTAAATGTGCTTGTGCATTTTTTGGTTTATTTGTTGATGTTATCTCAGATGAAAAGAGAACAGAATATTTGTACTCAAGTTATAATACACTGCTAAAATAATACAAGTTTTAGTAAATGATACTAATATTTTACAAATTACTCTAAAAAACTACTCTGAGTACTAGTTAATTACTTTTGAAAAAAAAAACATTTTTTTCATTATGGCCCTTTTTTAATTATACAATTATTTAAATTGTTTAATTGTTTAAATCACAAGGCTACATATAGGTATTTGCATTAACAAAGTATGGACTATTTTTTCTGTACATGACAATGAATCATTTTCAATAGCACTGGCAAAACTACCACATACTTTTAAGGCCATAGAGACACTTTTTGTTCATTTTTAAACAATACTTTCAGGCTTTTAAATGTTTAAAGTATATGATGAAAATATTTAAACTTGGGTTTTTATTTACATATTTTACACTGTTTTTCTTAATTGCTTGTTGTCTATACAATATTTTATTTTACGCTTGATCCTAAACTGAAATAATTTTACAAAAAAGACAAGAACACTGTCGGTAATAAAATAAGAAAAACAAATTACTTGGTTTCTGACAACACTACATTTCTCAAAGCAGTGCTTTAATATTATTTATTTTGGTAAATGTAACAGATTGCTTTGACCTGTAATGCCTGTACAAATTGTTGATGCTTTAAGACAGATCAGAACACCCCTATTATGTATAAATCACATAAATACCTCATCCAGAAACATTTCTAGCATAATTCTTTTGCCGTAAAGAAATAAAAAGTTTCACCTTTGCTAAAAGTTATGGTAGGCTAAGTTTCACATCACAGTACAGCCAAGTAAGTGCGTTAGCATTGTCACCGGTCATGCATCAATCTAATTCTAAATACTTGAAAGTTTTTGAGTAAGTTTAGTCAAGGAGCAAAGATAAATAATTTCTACTTCTGAGAGATCACAATTGTATATAGTCTGAGCACACACACGCGATGATGAGACCATGAGAGGACTTGCAGTTTATTTGAAAAAGCCTATTTAAGGGCTCGGATATCCAGTTTTGGCGATTAACTACATAACTGCACTCTCGTGTTAAAATAAAGCACTTGCGACATTTGCAGAAATGAATAATTGAGCATTACCTGCAGCTCGTGCCGACACTCTTAGAGCCTACTCACACTATGCTATCCGAACCGTGCCCAGGCCTGTTTGCCTGATCGTTTGAGAAGTGTGAGTGCGCTGAATCGGGCTCAGGCACAATTCACTTGGGCTTTGGCGCGGTACGCTTGTGTGTGAGTGCAAAACGCGCCTAAGCCAGAAACTGAAAGCAAGACGTTTCTTTTAAGGGACTATTTCATATGCATTTATTAATCATTCTTACCGTTCAATGAATGCAAACTGTTGTAGTTTATTAAAGACGCAAACTCCTCAATGCACCACAGCTGTGCCTTTTGCAAACCTCCTAATTCCTGCAGCACGAGGACTTTATGACTGTTTATGAGCGTCAAAATTGGCGGATCTGTTCGGCAAAATATTTGATTGTGTGTCACTGCATCCCAAACGACTAAAACAACATAACTAGAGAAGTCTCCACTGTGCTGAGCGAGAGCACTTCTCTACTGAACAGTGCATCATCGATATTGTAAGCGTGCCCTGGCCTGAATGGAGGACAAGCGTGCTTTGGCCTAGTTCAAAGCAACTGTTCATAGTGTGAGTATGCTCTCAGATTGTATTAAACTAGGCTTCAGAAGAGTGATAGGTTAGAGGCGAGTAAAATCCGTCGGAGAGAATGCAAAATGGCAGGATGTCCTCGGCTTAATTACTCTTGTGAATAACATAGACATCTCTATAGTAAAAACACCCAAAAAGCATTATTTCAATAATGCATTTGTTTTTAAGTTGTTGTTTTCTGTCACTGGAACATAGAAAGGCCTTTGTCCTGCCCTTACGTTCAATGCAAAACTAGACAAGGTTGACTGTGATTGGTCACTTTTAATGTCAGTCAAATCATCGCTTTAAAATCCTGGTATATTTTATATTGGTATATTGAGAACCACTGCTGAAGGAGATAAAATATACCCACACAGCATCAAAGGCCTGCACCTTCTCACAACAGCATC